TTTTGAAATTTTAGTTCAAGAAATGCCCAGAATAAAGTGATGTGCTGCCCATGGTTTGACTGGATTGCTCACTTTGATGTATAAATATATATACATATATATATGCTCTGTACGTAGCCGCCAGCGTCTTCTGCTGGAGGCCGAAATGAAATATCTAAGAAGAAATCTACTTATGTGATAAGATAAGAAAAATACTCCTCCTCTATACATTCTGCTGGTTGGTTTGCCTTTAACGGAAAACCAGCAGGTAAGGACTTCAATGATTCAGTAAATTCCGTAAAACAGGGAACCGGGAAAGTACCAATATGAACAAGCAAGTGGTTGATGTATTTCGACTTCCTAACCGATGACTATCTCTTTCCCACACCATACAGGTTCTTTATTCCGAAGGGAGCAAACGTGTGCTGAATGACTGTCACCAGGTTGGTCAGTGGCGACGCTTCGTGCATGCACAATACCTGAACTGCTATTCATACGATTTGCTGGAAAAGTATCGTGATCACGTGAGAACCATTGAGCTGTTTGTGTATCTGGACGTACCACCCAACAAAACGTCCTGTGTCGATTGTTTCAGTGCTGAAATCAAGTCTCAGTTGAGCGGAGCCGTTGTGGTCGTTCACAACGCGGATACTTATCCAGACATCAATCAGGAAGGAATAAATATTCAACCGGGCAGTCTGACAGAGATCAAGGTAAAAACAATTAAACACATACAAAAGACCCCTCCATATGGACGATGCTCACCGGACACACCGAAAACTATTGAATTATACGGTGCCGCACCTTACAGGTATTCAGAACACGCTTGTCGAATGAGCACAATACAGGTGGGTATTGAAGGTTCCCGTAATTCTAAACACTCACTTGAATTTTGTGTTTGTTGCTTTTGGTGAACTCTGAAGCAAACCAGTACAGTTAAAAAATGGGAATGTGGAGAAAAAACAATTTATTTGATTATGCAGTCTAGCAGAAACGAGCTTATTTGCTCAACGCTAATTTTCGCCCATTATAATCGTGTTTGGATCAGTCTGTACCTTTTTACGATAAGACGTTCAGGATGTTTGTAAAAGATGTCTAAATAAACGTCTCCAAAACCTTGAAGTGTGGAAGTTCCTAGATGAGATGGTG